TTTTTGGGGGGTTTTAGTGGATTTTTCTCCTTTTTTTCAGTTTTTTTTTGTTTCTCCCCCAGATTTTTGTGGTTTTTCCCCGATGTTGCTGTTTTTCACCTGTGATCCTGGCTGTGAAGGGGCTGCCTGCGATGTGCTTGTCGTTGTACTTGACCACGATGCCGTAGTCGCCGGGCAGCACGGGCAGGTAGGACACGGAGCAGGTGCCGTCGCCGTTGTCCTGGCAGCTGATCTCGGCCTTGGAGGGACCCTCGACGGCCAGGGACAGCCCCCCTGGGGACACGGGGACACGGGGACACGTCAGGGGACAGGGACAGCCCCCCTGGGACACGGGGACAGGGACAGGGACAGGGTGAGGGGACAGGGACAGCCCCCCTGGGACATGGGGACACGTCAGGGGACAGGGACAGCCCCCCTGGGGACACGGGGACAGGGGGACACGTCAGGGGACAGGGACAGCCACCCTGGGGACACGGGGACATGGTGAGGGGACAGGGACAGGGACAGGGACAGGGGATAGGGCCAGGGGACACGGGGACAGGAACAGGGGACATGAGGACAGGGAACAGGGAGCCAGGGGACATGGGGATAGGTACAGGGCCAGGGGACAGGGCCAGGGGACAGGGCCAGCCCCTCTGGGGACAGGGACAAGGTTAAGGGACAGAGACATGGAGACAAGAACAGGGGACAAGGGACATGGGGACAGGGGACATGGAGCCAGGGGACATGGGGACAGGGATAGGGACAGGGGGACATGGGGCCAGGGGCCAGGGGATAGGGACATGAGGACAGGGGACAAGGGACAAGGTCAGGGCCAGGGGACACAGGGACAGGAACAGGGGACATGAGGACAGGGGACAGGGAGCCAGGGGACAGGGAACAGGGGACAGGGGACACAGGGACATGGGACAGGGGACAGGGGACATGGGGCCTGGGGACAGGGGCCAGGGGACACAGGGCCAGGGGACAGGGGACATGAGGACAGGGGACATGGGGCCAGGGAACACGGGGCCAGGGGACACAGGGCCAGGGGCCAGGGGACACAGGGCCAGGGGACACAGGGACAGGAACAGGGGACACAGGGCCAGGGGACACAGGGCCAGGGCCAGGGCCAGGGGACAGGGGACACAGGGCCAGGGGACACAGGGACAGGGACAGGGGACAGGGGCCAGGGGACACAGGGCCAGGGGACACAGGGCCAGGGCCAGGGCCAGGGGACACGGGGCCAGGGGACACAGGGCCAGGGGACACAGGGACAGGAACAGGGGACACAGGGCCAGGGCCAGGGCCGGGTCCCACCCTCGCCGGCGTCCTTGGTGTTGACGGTGAAGGCGGCCGGGCGGTTGACGGTGCCGTGGGTCAGGCCGGGGCCGTAGGCCGTGACGTGGCCGCTGTTCACGTAGTCCACGTAGAACTGCAGGGGGCTGCCTGGGGGACACCGGGGACACCGGGGGTCAGAGGGGTCCTGACCCCCGACAGTGTCCCCAAACTGTCCCCAAACTGTCCCCAAACTGTCCCCAAATCCCCTATAGGGATAGTGACCCCAAAACACCCGCAAAGTC